TGAGCGAAGCTCGCTAGGTAAGTAAAGTACGTGAATCGTTCGTTGAGAATTATAGCATCTGTCTAAGTGTGGAAATTAAGTGTATTGCAAAGTTGTATTGAGAAAGAATAAACTAGTTTTATTTATGAAAGGACTTGTATCGCTAAAGTTTCGAGGGAAGAATTTCTGCGGGAAATTAATGAACGAAGAGGGATGTAACAACTGGTTTTACATAAAACTGCTAAAGCCAGAGATCATCAGTTTGGAATTGGTGATAAATAATATTTTACAAATACAAAACAAAAACTTGTTGGAGCTTTATAATATTTCTAAAATATAAGATACAAAATTAGTTAATCTTCAAATACAAAGTACTTGTGCAAAAACTAGTTGGGCTTTTACAACAAAATTAGCATAACATAACGTTTTGGGATTTATTGGTCCATCTTGGTTGTTCCATCCTCTAAACTAAAGTAAAATAATAATAATAAAAAATCTTAAAGCCAGCCCTTGTCATTCACTTACTAAACAAGCATTTTCTTAAACTCAAATTTACTGCCTCTACAACATCTGAAAGCAACCCATTCCAAAGGCCAACCACCCTGTTAGAAAAATGAAACTGTCTTAGCTGAAGATGACTCCTACCTTGCCAAAATTTATATTTGTATCCTTTAGTCCTGCTATTCTCACTGTTAAATATGAAAAAAGATGATACATCAATACTATCAGATCTCCCCTAACTCTTCTTTTTCAACAGAAAACAATTTGAGAGATTTCAACCTCTCCTTGTATGACAATCACTTCATCTCAGGCGCCATTCTAGTTAATCCTTCTCAGAACCCTTTCCAACAATTCAATGTCTTTCCTAAGGTAAGGAGCCCAAGATTGAACACAAAATTCCAAATGTGACCTAACCAGTGACCTGTACAATGAAATTATAACTTCTTTACTCTTGTATTCAATATATCTGTAGATACAACCTAAAATCCTATTTGCCCTACCACTAGCAACAGCACACTGATTGAATGGCTGATTGATTATTTCACCAAAATCCCTTTCAATCATAACACTATTAAGGTTATTCTCATCCAAATTATACTTATAATTCAAATTATGATAACCCACATGCATTATCTTGCACTTATTATAATTAAAAATCCATCTGCCATTTATTTGCCCAACTCACTAAATAATTTAAATATTTTTTAAATTGGCAGCATCCTCTTCACAGCTAGCAACACCAAAGACCTTAATATTATCTTCAAATTTAAGTAATTTATTAACTATCCCTTCAAACACAAAGAATTAGGCACCTTTTGTTTCTATTCTCTTATGGTTAGTGAAGTTTCTGCACTTTATAAACAACTTCAATCCCACAACGGAACTTAGAAAGGTGTTTCTAAATATATGAATGTAAACAAAGCACTATTTATTAAAATCAACGTTCTTAAAAACATTTGTTAAATAATTACTCTTTTTAATCTTTAAAAGTATTTATTGAAAGAAAAGGTTTTTATGTTGTTTTTTCTTATTGTGAGTTCAGGTTTCAATCTGAAAATATGAACTATGACTTAAACTGAACCTGTTTTGAAAATTGAATGACTTATGTTAACTACAACTGGTATTAACTTTTGTTGTGATGAAAGGAAAAATTCAAGATGTTTAGAAGTAAAAGCTGCATGTAATTTTCTTAATTTTTGACTAATACACAAATGTTTGACTAATACAAACTCTTTCAACTACAGAACAAAACTAATTATACAGAAAAGTAGATGTTCACTCACAAAAAGCTTTTGCTACAGCTATAGCTTCGAGAAGGGAAAGCAAAGGAACAATGATGATTCCAGACCCTAAATCCTGAAACAACAAAGTTGTCATCATGTTTTCTAACACAAAGAAAGAAAACTTTAAGAACAAATAATGTAACCACTTTTAAACTTTGAAACTTTAAAACTGCAGTATTTATAACACTTAAACTATGAACTTGTTCATCTATGGCGTGAGAACTAGCCAAATTCAAATAACAAAGTAAAAATGTAATTATAATACAAAAAACAAGCAATAAAATAAGCCAAAAAAGATTAAAAGGCTTAGCTAGCTATAAACATTCTTCTATGACAGCAATATTAAGTCACAGGTTATGAGATGTTTGAAAATTATAAAAGTTTGCAAATTATTCACTTTCTAAAAAAGTCAAATTCAAAAATGAATAATGACCACATTTTGGAAGTCCTACAACTCCCAGGACTATATTGGAAGTCCTACGACTCCCAGGACTATGTTTTCAGAAGAATAGATTGCAAAAATTATCCCTTAGCTGACTTCATAAATTCTCTTTATCCCTCCCCCAAAACAAAAATAACTTTACAACTGGTGAAACAAGTCAGTCTGCATGAGTGTTTCAACATTTGAATCAAAAATAAACATGCTCTCAAGAAATGACTAGTAAAATTAGTTATGTTTGGAATTCAAAAACCAGTAACTTACAAAACTTCAATGTTCAAATGCAATTGTTTTACATGTATAAACTAAGTAGATTATATTTAAAACATTTTGGAACAGAAACACATTAATAAACTCCATGTTGTCATGTCCAATTATGCTCTATCTGATGATCACTGAGTAAAGTGCTAGGTGACAATTCGAGGGTTGTACTGATACACACTGACCCCTCACGTATAAATTGACTGCCTTGCAGAGGTGGATAGTTCCTTTACTGATGTTATTAGTGTCCTTTATACTGACCTATTGACTCCCCATTGTTTATTTTTAATAGCTACATCACACGGTACTTTGTTTTCATTTCTTTTCAATTTTGACGAAGACCTTCCATGGTTGCCACATTCCACTTGATAGGTTGATATCTTGTCAGCAGAGTTGTGCTGGATATATGAAAGTGGCTTCTATTGCAACTTGTCAGCATTATTTCCATAACCCATGTAGTGTACAAGGACGATGTTTACCAAGCACCTTTTCCAAATTCACAGGTACTGTGACTGGCAACTTGACACATATGTCTTCAAATGGAATAGCATGAATTCACTCTCCAGCTACTATATGATGTATGTGATGGTTGAACATGAGGTGTGAGTAGAAACCACAGTTATTACAGGACTCTTTCTAATCCATATTCCTTTGTTTTCCAGCACCATTAAATATCTCCATCTTGTTTAATGATGGCTTGTTTGTTTTCCAGCGCCATTAAATATTTCCATCTTGTTGTTTTCAAGCACCATTAAATATCTCCATCTTGTTTGTTTTCCAGCACCATTAAATATTTCCATCCTGTTTGTTATCCAGCACCATTAAATATCTCCATCTTGTAAATTCAAAATCCTTGACTTGGACACATCTTTTTATGATTTAAGTGTATAAATATTTTGTGATGGAAAAGGTTGTTACATACACTTTCCACAAGTGATCAGTGGCATAACACTACCTACAAAATCCCATACAATATCAAATACAGTTCTGATATATTATATTCCACCATGACTTTATATCAGCTGTGGTTGTTATGTGACTTGCTGGTTTGTATATTAAAAATCGTTTTAATACAGCATAATCAACCCTGTATTAGTACAATTTAAATAAGGTGATGTTTTAAATGACTTTTATATCAATACACTGTTATTGTTCACAATAGTAAATATCAGTTTATTCACAAATAAGGAAAAATCCCTACACAGCATAATTTTTTAAATTCCCTATAATGTTTGGACTCAGACTTATTGTCATATTTCATGATTATTATAATATTTTTTGGAAAGTCAATTAACTTTTATTATTTACAGCTGTGACTCACCTACTGGTCCAAAGTTTGCTTTGTAATGTTTTTTTATTTTGTGCATTAAAGTAATATATCAAAAAGAAACTTATAGTGGAAAAATTCATTACAAATGAAGAAAGCCTTAATGATTCCTATAAGGTATTGTAATCGTTAACTTACCTTACAGATTTCTATAAAATTTTTGTGGGTGGTTACATTGTTTGAATTATCACAATAAGTAAAGGTTGGGGGGTGAAATGCAGGTACTCCTGGAGGAACGTCATGGGTCAACGTGAATGGCGTGTAATTGTGTGCTTTAAGAATAGCCGAGATACCTCCACAGATCAGCACCAGAAGAGCATTTCTTGCTAGAAACAAGTGAAATAAATTCTTATCTTTTCTAACATTTTCAGATGCAATGAATACTTTACAGACAGTTATCAAACACATTCCTATAAAAAATTTAAGCTAGATTAATTATCATAATTCTACACAAATATTAAAATCTCATTCAAAATCCTTGTTTATAATTTATTTTATTTCTCTGTGTACAAATATCACTGTAAATTATGTTTATTATTTGTGTACAGATATCACTAAGTTATGTTTGTTATCAGTCTACAGATATTACTGTAAGTTGTTTGTTGTCTGTGTACAGATATCACTCAGTTATGTTTCTTGTCTGTGTAAAGATATCACTATAAGGTATGTTTGTTGTCTGTGTACTGATATTACTGTATGCAGTGGTGGGATTCAGCCTATTTGCACCGGTTCGTGTGAACCTGTTCTTAGAATTTAATGACCTCCACGAACCAGTTGTTAACAATCGTATGTATAGGCCTAATAATAACGTTACAACTTACAAGTATGCGTGTTTACAATGCAACT